GAAATACTTATTGCAGTTCAATACTTGGGTCAGAATGAAATTTATTACCAGGTATTCAAAAGTACTTACGAGACCGATGTACCTATTAATTTTTTTCTCTATAACTTCCCAATAAATCACCAAACCTACTTTCGTAAAGCCTTGTGGCTCTGCTGAGTATTCCGTGACACTCGCAATAACAACACACCATATCCAAATTCTTATATTGAGGGCACAGAACAAGAACTAATCAAGGCATTATTTGCAAATCTTGTCTTGTCACAAATTTAAAAGATACGCACGCGCGCTTGGGACTCCGCTCGCTCACTGCGCTGTGCACCGCGCATACCTAGATAGGTAGGCAGGAAGGTATTCAACGGCGGGAGCGGTCATTGCTCCCGGCCGCCCGGCTCCTTTTTTTACGTCTTTTTTAGTAGTGCTTATTACTTATTTTTTACTTACTCTGTATGCATGTTTTAAAAGAATAATTATTTAGTACCCAAAAGGAGGAAAGGACTTAAAATATAACAAAAAAAAAACAAAATTTTATTTTAAATCATTTTTTAAAAAATCCGAAAAAATTCAGAGATACTCTATATACGTAACCCAACATTCCCACGAAGTTTCATTAAAACATTCAATTTCACCCTGTATATTTATTTACATCTTCTGTATGGGAGCTCAAATTAAATATTTATTTAATTCTGTTTTTAGAATATCTGTTGCTATAGCGGTAACAGAAATACATCTTCTGTGAAAATTTCGGCATTTTAACGCGGCATTGAGAGCCACCTATTTCCCGGGCGCCTGGAAAACGGGCAGAGTCTATCTATTAGTCAGAGAGTTTATTAAATTAATGATCCCGAAACCTGGAAAAGACCGAAGGCGCCCGGGCAATTACCGCCCTATTAGCTTACTTGACCACGTGGGGAAACTTTTCGAGCGATTAATACTACGCCGACTGAAGCCCCAATACAAGCCGCGAGACGAGCAGTTTAGTTTTCGTAGCGGCCATTCCACAGTTCTCCAACTCTCTCGACTCCTCCATCATAATAATCGGCCATATGACCGAAGCCCAGAATAGGAGACACTGCACTGTGGCGGTGTTCCTGGACGTAGAAAAAGCATTTGACCGAGTGTGGCACCCCCGGTCTGATCTATAAGCTGGCCAAATCCGCTGTACACCCGGCCCTAACGAAGATAATTGCATCATACTTCCAAGAGCGCTCCTTCCATGTTACTGAGGCGGGAGTAGAGTCCTCCATCCACCCAATAGAGGCAAGGGTCCCACAGGGCAGCGTCCTCTCGCCCTCCCTCTAAAGCATATTCTCCGACGACCTGCCATCCATAAATGAGGATCTGGAACAGTGGGGAAGCAGAGGTCACCTTGCCTTATTTGCAGACAGGCAGGCAGTAACAAAATGTGGGTAAAACCGCCGCCATCTGCACAACCAAAAAACGCCCCCCGCCCAAGATCAAATTAGACGGTCATCCAATTGACTGTGCCAGTTCCACTAAATACCTGGGGGTCATAATAGACAAAAACTTAAGGATGACCACCCACGTAGGAGAAGCCATCACCAAGAGCCGAGGCGCCAGAGCAGCGCTCCGCCCTATCCTCGCTTCCAACCTGCCCCTGAGAACAAAGGTGAGTATTTACAAGACCTACGTACCACAGCTGATGAAGCCGCTCAAGTAGTTGCACTACTGCAATGAGGGATGCGTCAGTGTGATGTTTCCCGGCACCCTTAGCCGTTTTTCCGTTCGAAAAGTTCATAGAGACTAGTGGCTAGACATGGGTCCGGTAGACGTTGCTGCACTTCAGAAAGAGACGACCGATTCGTTCTGTCGAACTCTTTGGGAAACCATTTCTCTAACTGTTTTAGTTGCAACAGCAGCTTCTCTACGGTTAGAAAAAGAATGAAAGAGAAAAAGATAGCGGCCCACAGAGCTGCTACGGGTCCGAAATTGACAGCAGCGCATCGGCGAGCCCGCTTACAGTTTGCTCGTGACCACGTTGATTGGACCCTTGTGCAGTTGAAAGCTTTTCTCTTCTCAGACGAGACGCGAGTATGTATTTTCTGCAACGATCGACGGAGAAGAGTATACCGGAGGCAGGGCGAACGTTTTGTGGATGCCTGCATCCAGGAGACGGTGGAATATGGGGGCGGATCCTGCATGTTCTGGGGCGGTATGTCGGCCGCCGGCAAAACTAAACTTGTCTGCGTCTCCCGGACTGGAAGTGCTCGCGGACAAGGGTCCCTGACTGCTAGCCGCGATGTCACAGAGATCCTGGAAGTGCATGTGGTCCCTTTTGCCGAATCTTTTGGGAAGGGGTTCAAATTAATGCACGAACCGCCCGCGCTCACACTGCAGCTATCGTGAGTGACTTCTTACAGAGGTCCCAAATCTCTGTAATGCAGTGGCCAGCGAGTCCGGACCTGAATCCGATAGAGCACCTCTGGGATCATCTTCGATCAACGCAAGGTTCGATTTCGGGATCCAACTCCTTCTACTCTACAGGAGCTCCAAGACGCGGTGATTGAAGAAAGACTCCTCCCTCAAGAAGACCTTCTGAAGTTGGTCAGGTCCATGAAAGGTCCATGAAAGGTCAATGAAATGAAATGAAACCTAACCTAACTCATTGAATCAGAACATTAAATCTGATATTGAAGTAAATTAGTAGCTTCTTTTTAGAAATATTGAACCATAAAAACTTCTATGATTTTTTTTTAGTAAAAGCTTCGTGGTTGGTTTTTTTCTTTTTAATAGACATTATTTTGACAGTTGGGAAAGAGATCGCGAGTTCCGAGACCGAGTTCAAGGTAAAGAAAAAGCTCGAGTATGTAATAGCCCACATCCCGAACGCTATACGAACCTGCAATACGTCACTTTTTGAGCAACTATATTAAAAAAAAAAAAACTTTCAATGGATGATATAACCTAATTAAAACGCAAATTAATCGAATACTATGTATTAGAAAAGCTCAATTTATTAAGGTAGCAGATATTTTTAATTTGTACATACGTATTTGAATTTCCATATTATTGATGCGATCTTAAAAATCTTCCTACTTTTACTGAATAAATATTTTCATAGACTAGACATTTAAAAACCAATTTGAAACTTATCATTTCAGTGAATTTTAATATAAATATGACTAAAAGTGCTTTTACATGTTACAATTAAAGTTAAATCAACCAAAAAGGATTCCAATATTTATGGCAATGCACGTTCAGCTAATGTATTTGTCTCGAGTCACGGTTTCTAGCTTAATAGTTGTTCTGGGGAAATGATAGTATTTAAAACGCTAAAATGTATTTCACCCGCCTCCTCCTCTAAAAGCTTCCCGACGTAAATGCTGAAACTATCATTTCGTAGACGTTACGGTGAAAGATAAAAGTCTTTTGTGTTGTTTTCAACTTTTCGTTGGGAATTCAGAAGAAGCAAAATGTCTCTAAATTAATGGAAGTTATATTGATATCTAACATCTGTGCACAGCAATTTAGTTGCTGATATCGTACATTGAAAATTTATTAAAGAGGGGTTAATAAAATGCCCTCTAAAATTATATGGTGTGTTCTATCTGCTACAATGGTTCACCACTACTACTGCACTACTTCTATACAAATTGAAACCGCGCATAATAATAAATCTGACTTCATAATCGAATGCATAAATAAAATAATCAAGACAAATTTCTTATACACTCCAACTATTCTCTTAGTTAATCAGGATAAATGGGATACCACAGATACTTATAAGTTTTATGATAGGCTCATAGACATAACAGTTAAATATAACATACCAACAATAGAAGATATTACTTCAGATGTATACGAAATGTATGTTATGAAAGACCATTTTCTCTCCATATCATATTACCATGATTGTGACAAATTATTGGAAGTACCAATCGACTCCGTCAATCCAGTAGTAAAACATATAGTGGTTATTTTCAATTCTTCAAAAGAATGCACAGCACTGCTAAATAATGTTATATCTCACTACCTCAGTAAATATGATATAACTTTTCTAAAATTAAAAGAAGATGGTAATTATGATATTGTAACTTATATACCGAAGCTAAATCCTATCTATTGTAAAATGAACTATACCGTATCAGACACTAAGATAGCCACTTGCAATTCCTTAAAGAAGGTCAACATTTTTCCAAATAAAGAACCTCAAGATTTAATGGGATGTGTCTTTAAAGTAGGTATGGCAACATATGTCCCATTTTCGAGTATTAAAGATAGCAAATCAATGCAAATAATGGATCCAATCAATGAAAAGGATATCAGAGGATGTGACGTGGAAATCATGAAAATAATGTCACAATATTTCAATTTTACGCTGCAATATTATTTTATATTTGACAGTGAAGACCACGGTGATTCTCGACGAGCATTTTTGGATTTTCTGCTTAACGGTACTTTGGACGCTTGTGCAGGTGGACTTTTTAGAGTGTATGGTGATGTTGTTGAATATTCAGGGGTTTACGGTAAACAAGCATTAGTTTGGATGTACACTGTTAAACGAAGAAACAGGTCTTGGCAAAACCTGGTTACTAAAGTCGGTAGCTTATATGCATTCATTGTGTCCTATATCATCTTTTCCCTTGCATCATATTTACTTACTATGTTTGACAGAAGACGCGTGTCACTCAGCAACACAATGTTGTACAATTGGGGTGCACTCATGGGTGCTTCTTCATTATATAAAGCAAAAACTTTTAAGCACAGGATTATGAACTATTTCTACTTAACTCTATGCACACATCTCGCTGTTTATGCTAACATACACATGTATTCTTTTCTAACCGTCGTCGGTCCACCAAGTACATATAAAACTATCGACGAGATATATGGATCAAATTTAAAGCCGTACTTGGATCCAAAAAGCAAATTTTTTTTCAGTGATAAACAATTCGACATGTTTTCTAATACATCAAAACAATGTGTGTTTTTTGTAGATTGTGAATTACAAAGTTTTAAACATAATGGAATTACAATTGTAGTCGATGGTCAATTCACGTTGTTTCAAGCTGAAACTATAGTGGATGGAGAAGCTACGGTGTTAAAGGTGCCACAGAACATGCTGACTGTCTACCATGAAATTTTGATTCGAAAGAATGTCACCATCACAAATAGTTTTCAAAAACTTATGACTAGGCTCGGGGAAGCTGGCATAAGTGATCGACTGTACCACGAAGGTTTGGGAATATTAACAGAAGCGAAAGTGCTTAGTGCGACAAAAAATATTATGAGTTACAGCTACAATTGTAAAGGTGGATGTAGTATTACACTGATACAGTGCGCAGGAGCATTCTATGTTTGGATGTTTGGGTGTGTCTTGTCTTTTTGTGTTTTTATAGTGGAGATTACAGTAAAAATGAAACAAGGCCGGCAAATATAATGGTTATGTATAAATTTGTTAAAGGCACTTACACATTTTTTTTATTTGGGCACGCAAAACATCGTGTTTATGTTGCTGTTATTTGATGAACACTAATTTAAAGAAATAAAAGATCGGTGTCAAATAAATGCAGAACCTTAACTATTTGTAATAGAATGTTAAAGTATACAAGTATAAAGAATTAAATAATATTTCAAGTCCATGATAAAGAACATTGGGAAAAAATGTATGGACGCTGCACCCACGTCCGCCACGGCTTAAACTACATTTGTTTGAAAGGTATTTTAGTCATGATCATCTGTGCTAAAGGGCATCAAATTCCATCTAGTTATTTTAAGTTAAATAGGTACAAGTACTATACCGAACGAAAATAATAGAAACAAGGGCATTAATTTAGTTAGTTAGTTCGACTGTACATTGAGGGCTCAGGCACAATACATACAAGAGCAGTAGCGTCACTCAGCCGTTTTCTTGAAATAGATACCTACGACCACGGAGGAAAAACAAAAACAGGCTTTGTTTTTCCTCCGTGCCTACGACTGAGCGGATCCTTAGGGTTGGTACCTACAAAATGTAAAAAATATTTGTGTAGATTTTTATTTTATGTGTATAGTTACTATTGGCACGTTACGGAATCGAAACGGACGCAGACGGCGCGGGGGCGCGGCGCAGCTAACTTAACTCGGCCAACGACCAGTCTCGGCGGCGCGTGACGTGGGACTGCGTTGATTTGGCTTGGCAAGATTGGTTAGCGGCCGTGTAAATGTCGTTTGTCTGTGTGCGTGCGTGGATGCACTAGTAGTAGGTCAGGTATTATGCGAGTACTTCACAAGGTGCAAGGGTGCCCCCTTATGTTATGCTGCCACGCTAAAGTAGGTCAAAACCTCCCCTCATGGTTTGGGACTTTTCAAACAGTCTGTTCGTTATAGTAAATTGTCTTCTATATAAAACGGAGCGACCACAAATCACACAAACTTGTCCACGCTTCGGCGACAACATGATTCCAGTTCATCCATACTAATTGACAAAGCCGATAATCGTGTTCCAATGTCCAAAGCGTGTTAGATAAAAATCAATCATGTGACAGGGAACGCACAATCACAGCGAAGAAAGACGAGACGACTATTTGCAACTGCAAGTACTTCAACCCCCGTAAACCGCTCAGTAAGTGCAAGCGCAGGATGTTCGGCAGGCTTTGTCGTATATCTGGTTGTATAGGAGTACGATAAGATATCTTTTTATGGTTACTAATAATATAAAATGTAGGTACTATAAAATTAATTTATTTAGCTACTTAAATATGTCCATGTATCATATCTTTTGACTACCAGGATATTTTTATACGGTGTCATATCTTTTCACTACAAGGATATTTTTTGCGGTGTCATAATAAAAAGGCTAGTTTTTCAGTTTAAGTTTAATTACATCATTGTTAGCGGAGCTGGGTGTGTTTTTTCCCATCGTCCTTTTAATTTCTTAATTGTCATTATAGATTAAATTTTTAATAAAGATATTTTTAAATGCACAGCAAATAGTTATTTTGTATTGCTGTGCATTTAACTAAGTACTAAGTTTAGTACCCATCGAGTCATTTACAGCAATTAAAATATTTTTACATCAAAATAATTATTTTACTGCAAACAAAACATTTGTTGAACAAAACTAGTGCTGAAAATAATTCAAAAATATACATGTAATCTATAGTAACAAAAACTTGTTTAATTGTCCAGAAATATGAATATCATATCAAATATACTGATTGCACAGCAAATATACTCATTGCACAGCAAATATACTGATTGCATAGAAAATTATCCCGGTCTTCGACGCAAAATACTCACACTCAACAAAACAACTATTTTTGCAACTAGTACAGTCAATCTATAGGTTGAGTGCCGAAAAAAAAACCTAAATGGTAAGTCTTGTTTTTTCTGTTGCCAAATGACGTCAGTAAGCCACCTTGGCGATGGGCATGTTCGATTACGCCAAAAAACGCCTACGAGTTGTAGGCGTTTTTTGAAAAACTCAAAAAACCCTCAAAAAAATTTTGAAATGCATTTTTCTTATTTTATATGCATTTTAGAAACTTTTTTTTCGACCATAATTGTAGAGGGCGTTGAGTACTAAAATTTATGTCATTGTTGCAATCTCGTACAACAAAAATGCGCATTGTAGGTCGCGCTAAAGTCTCAAAAAAAGAGTTTTTTCACTTTTACACCCTGAAAATATCATTTTAATGGAAAACTTTAAATCGAAAAGTTGTTCCGTACATAATTACCAACAACTTTTGTATGAACATTTTTTTTGTATTACTTACCGTTTTCAAATTATAAATTGCGCAGGTATGAAAAATCCAATAGAGCGGTTTTGGGCAGTTCAAGTACACATTTGCAGTGCACATTTCAATGTACGTTTTACTATTTTATTTTTATTATTATTTTTTTCAATCATGAAAAAAATATAAAATAAAAATAAAATAGTATAAACGTACATTGAAATGTGTACTTGAACTGCCCAAAAACCGCTCTATTGGATTTTTCACACCTGCATAATTTATAACTTGAAAACGGTAAGTAATACAAAAAATTGTTTATACAAAAGTTGTTGGTAATTATGTACGGAACAAGTTTTTCATTTAAAGTTTTCCATTAAAATGATATTTTCAGGATGAAAAAGTGAAAAAACACTTTTTTGAGACTAGCGCCACCTAAACGAGTTGTACGAGATTGCAACAATGACATAAATTGTAGTACTCAACGCCCTCTACAATTATGGTCGAAAAAAAAGTTTCTAAAATGCATACAAAACAAGAAAAATGCGTTTCAAAAAATTTTTGAGGGTTTTTTGAGTTTTTCAAAAAACGCCTACGAGTTGAACATGCCCATCGCCAAGTTGGCTTACTGACGTCATTTGGCAACAGAAAAAACAAGACTTACCTTTAGGTTTTTTTTTTCACTGAAACGATATTTTTTTCGACAGATTGTTTGTACTAAACAGGTTTCCCTTCCCATTAAGCATTTCAAAACTTGCTCAACATTGGGACACTTTTGGTTGTTATAAAAAAAAGCGAGTGTGCTTATGACCACCCGATTGAAGTCAAATTTCTTTAGTCCCAATGATCTGAAAATCTTGAACTGTTTGTTAATAGAAAAAAAAACACCAATCCGCGCTGGGTCCGTTATCATCCTCCAATCTGCACTGGGTCCATTATCACCCACCAATCCGCGCTGGGTCCGTTATCACCCTCCAATCTGCACTGGGTCTATTATCACCCACCAATCAGCGCTGGGTCCGTTATCACCCACCAATCCGCACTGGGTTCGTTAACATCCACCAATCCTCTTTAATCCTCTCCTTCAGACTATGATATATTTGGCCCTAATTTTGATTATATTATATCACTGAAAACCTAAAATAATAGATTTTATTTTTCTGATCAGGCTTGAGACAAGGCGGTATGATAATTAATCCTTTCATCATCATCAATCATCAACAGCCTATCATAGTCCACTGCTGGGCATAGGCCTCTCCAAATGCACGCCACTCAGATCGATCTTGGGCTACTCGCATCCAGCTCCTGCCAGCCACCTTGCGCAAATCGTCACTCCATCGTGCCTGAGGACTTCCTACACTACGTTTGCCTAGACGCGGTCTCCACTCCAGAACTCGTCTACCCCAACGGTTATCGGTTCTTCGGCAAATATGGCCAGCCCACTGCCACTTCAACTTGCTAATCCGGTGGGCTATGTCGATAACTCTGGTTCTCTGTCGGATTACCTCAGTTCTGATGTGATCTTTCAGAGAAACATCGAGCATAGCCCTTTCCATAGCGCGCTGAGCGACTTTGAACCTGTGGACCAGCCGTGCCGTCAGTGTCCACGTCTCGGCTCCGTATGTCATCACAGGTAGGACGCACTTATTGAAGACTTTCGTCTTTAGGCACTGTGGGATCGACGAAGTCAGGACTTGACGTAGCTTCCCAAACGCTGCCCAACCTAGCTGAACTCTTCTATTCACCTCGTCCTCAAAGTTGTTTCTACCTAACTGCAATGTCTGCCCGAGGTAAACATATTTTTGAACAACTTCGAGAACGGCACCGTGTATTGCAATCGGTTCCGGTAGAACATGTTCATTGAACATGACCTTGGTTTTATCCAAGTTCATCCGTAGGCCGATGCGTATAGAAGAGTCAGCCAGGTCATTCAGCATCTGTTGTAGGTCCTGCAGGGTTTCTGCCATGATGACGATGTCGTCTACAAATCGCAAGTGAGAGATGCGTTCGCCATTTATGTTGATGCCATGTCCTTTCCAGTTCAGCGTCTTGAACATATCCTCCATTGCATTAGTGAACAATTTCGGGGAAATAACGTCCCCTTGTCTCACTCCACGATGCAACGGTATGGGACTTGTTTGCTGATTCTGTACTTGGAGAGACATGGTGGCGGCTTCGTAGAGACATCTTATCACTTGAATGTATCGCCAGTCGACTTGGCAACACTGCAGGGACTCCAGGACAGATTTCAATCGAGTCAAAGGCCTGAATATACAACTAAAAGTTCTGTATATCTGGGGTCGCCACCAAGTCGAGCACGAAGCAAACACTGCCGTACCATCCTTTACTGGAACCATTTCGCCGCATTTTCAGGCCCCTATTTGAGAACCTCTTGATAAGACCAGAACGCTGAAATTTTCGTCATCTAGTAAGCTATAATAACATACTTAAAATCCAAAATTTCAAGTCTGTAGGTCATGTAGTTCCGAAGTTAAGCGAAAGCAAAGTTTCTCATTTAATACACTCACTCACTCATGATCATCAGAATAGAACTAGTACTTTCCATAGACTCAGAGAGCTGAAATTTGGTACATAGTTAGGGTTTAATGGCCACATAAAGGGAAAACTATAAAAACTAGGATAATCGAAGATCTGGAGTACCTGGTGACCCTGATTAGAAAACACAAGAGCTCAACCAAACTATTAGAAGAGATCGATATACCTGTTTTACCAAAAATATTCAACTTGGTGGGCCGCTTCATTTGATGTCAAAAAGCGAAGGTCTGAAGTATCTGATGAAGAACCTTCAGCTGGTCTCAGCTGTATTAGAGATATGGTAATGCCCCCCTTCTACTATTGGTACACAAAAAAATCGACTGTCTTTGCAAAAATCCAGCGTAGTGGTACACATCTTTTAATTTAACCTAGCCTATAGCGCCGCACTGCTGGGCGAATGCCTCCCCTTCTACTTTTAATGCGCATATAAATAAAATTAAAAAAAACTCTGGATAACACTAGACTGGCTATTATACTTATACTTACGAGTTTACAAAAAAAAAATAGTCGAATGATTAACTTTATTCTACTCGAATATTACACAAATTAAATAAACAAATTACACTAAAATATTAAATTCGCTCAAGATTTGCTCAAAATATAATGCATTGGACTAAGAGTGGCGGTGATACCAAGGTCTAAGTCTAAAAAATACCCTCATGGACATTGGCACCTCCATATTCTCTTGTAGCCAAGCCTACGTGGCGCTGTCACGAGTAACAAATCTTCATGGGGTGCACCTCATAAATGTTGAATTCAAGAGTATAAAAGCTCAAGCTTCAGCTATCACAGAATACAACCGGCTTAGGCGTAAATACCGCGCCGATCTTTCAGAAATTAAACCGTCTAAAAGAATAAATAAAGAACGCGAATGGGCAATAGGGTTTCGTATTGCCCATTCGCGTTCTTTATTTATTTGTTAGTTGCTAATGTTCAAGAATCAGAACCGGAAAAAAGAAAAGAAAGATTTGTAATAATAAAAAGACTACTTCTAAAAAGAAAAAAACATGTGTCAAATAAGAAAATCTAATAAAATAAATCAATATGCCCACGTTTCAACAAAAAGAAGTGAAATCCCACCAAAAACATTCTGTAAAGAACTAGTCAAGTCTCGATGGAGCTGCTTGTTTATCTCTAAAAAGTAATGAAATCTAAACACAGTCGTGCCAAGTCTAAGGTTCCTTACTGCGATTTCTTTATTTCATTTTTTCTTTATTAGTATAGTTAATGTTGTGTGACTTGGCCGTTTAAGGGTACACAAGGGTACAAAACGAGCGCCAGAGCTATCCTGGACTATAAAATAATCACTCTGAAAATGTTTCTCACTCATCCGTAGCTTCGTTTACGAATGCTTAGAGTAAGCCCCCAGAGTCTGCGATAAGGTCTTCATATTTTCAGCCTTCTATTAAAACTTTGCAAATTTCCATTCAATAAGTGTTTCCAACGCTTCAAAGGAATCGATCGGACTTTGAGAGTTAAAGAGATATGAAGAAATCGATTTTTCATTTGAAATCAATGAAGTGGAAAATTTTACAGACTTGAATAGAAATATGTTATATTAATGGACACTATTGATAGTGCATTCGGGTTATTAAAACTATGAAATTCGAGTAACTTTGGTAGATGCAGCCCGGTATAGTACACTGGGTGACCGAGAACTAATTACTTAACACTGAAAAAGCGTGGGGCGCTATTCATTGCAATACCTATATTTATCAAATTAATTAATATATTACGTGATTCATAAAATGCTTTACAATTCAGTTTAAAGGAGATTGCTCAAATTGGCTTAAATGCACAAAAAATATTGACATATACGGTAATTCTTGCCGTAATTTATAATTTAATTTACAGTCATTAGATTTCAACGGACACCTTTGTATAATATATTTACTTTAAAAGGAACTTTTAATTTTACCGGTTTGGAAAACATACGAATCATTTTTAATGGCTATGGGAGTAGTAACATTCAGCCAAAGACTGATCGAAGTTGTTTATACAGGGTGAAATTGAATGTTTCTATGAAACTTCGTGAGATTGATGGGTTACATGTATAGAGTATGCCTGATTTTTTTCGGATTTTTTAAAATAATTTTTTTCGTTTTTTAATTTTTTATTTGGTTATTTTTTTGTCATTTCTTCCTTATGAGTAATTATTCATTTTAAACACGTCTACATAGAAGTTATAAAGCAACTTAAAATAAGCACTACTAAAAAAACGGAAACTTAATGAATGCCTTCATTATGCCTCCAGTCGAGATCAGCGCCGGTCGGGGCGACGACCGGCGGCCGCCTGTAGGTACCTAACTACACGCACAGATGACTCGGCGCTTACCTACTCGCTTTGATCCACACTATTTAAAAACAATACAATAAAATAGTCTTAGATGCTATATTATAATTATTTATTCACTGATACACAATACCTTTGAATATTATTTCATAAAGCACAGGTAATTAATCAATAAAATAAATCTTCTTAAAATTAAGAGCAAATCGGTATAACTTACGAGCTTAGTGAAGGAAGGAACTCTTCGTGTCTGATTTGCCCACGTCATGAAATTCCGAACACATTTAATCACAGCCACAGTCACACATACACACACACACACACACACATAATAATATGTTGTTTTGCGGCAAGCACGGGCGGGCGGCGCGCCGCACGCTGGCAACTAGCGCCGGTTGCGGCGTCTTTGATGATGTGAATTCCGCCCACCTCCCCTCTTCCCCGCACGCGGACGTTTGCTTTGATTGCATGCAAAACGCAGTCGCAAGTATATCAATCGCGCGTGAGCGTGCGCATCTTTTGACTTGGTGACTGTGATAATTTCATTATGCCTCGGTATACAAACCAAGAATATTTAGAGATGGTGTACTGCTATCGCGAGTGTGACGAAGTAGGTTTGGTTTACGAATGAGTCCCTAAACCATAGAAGTTGCATTTTGTGCAGTGAGTAGTTATAGGGACACTTTAAAAAAGGTGAAAAGACACGTCCGCAAACAGGCAACCTTTGTTTGCAGCAAAATGGTGGTTTAGAGCAACAATTTTGCAGATAATAATTTAAGTCTCTTTTTATTGCTAGTGTAAATACTTTTTGATTAGAAACAACTAATTGTGTACTACCAGTGTGATTGATTTGATAAAAAGTTCTAGTGAAAAAAATGAATATGTTCCTCGTTCCTCGTTGTACCTACCTAAATCGCCGGTCTCGTAAGTACTTTTGAATACCTGGTTATAAATTTCATTCTTGGGGTATTAAGCAATAAGTATTTCTTTTTGTTTAACATTTGCCTATTTCCAATCGTGACAAAATTATTATTAACTTTTAAAGTTTTTCTCTGCTTAAGAAAAGATGACATTTGTGCTTATTATTTCAATTTCAATAAAGGCATCAAAGACGATTTTATTGTACCTATTGTGTGGAATCAAACGAGTCAGTTGAGCTCTGTGTAGAGTTAGGTAGCTACTTACTCAACGGCTGGCGGGCGCGGTCGGTCGTTGACCCGCGGTGGAATTTCAATGTTTTCCCGTTTTTTAGAAGTGCTTATTTATTAGTTGTTTTTCACTGGATATGTAAGTTTGTTTGTTTAAAATGAATTAACTACTCAAAACGAGGAAAAGACATAAAAATACACAAATTATAAATAAATACATGAAAAAAATATACTTCAAAAAAATCCGAAAAAAGACAGGCATACTCTATACACATAACCCAACAATCTCACGAAGTTTCATAGAAACATTCAATTTCACCCTATATAACATAAAAACAAATCTATTTTGTAAAGATCGATAAAATAAATCATTTTTTTTATTACACTGTGGTATTAATATCCACAACTATATTATCATTTTCACTAGATGCAAATGTGCTCAGACAATTATTATAGATGGTAGGCGACATCATAAAGTCTATGGGTGCGGCCAGAGTGCACTCAGATTCAGATTCAGATTCAGATTCTGAAAACAAGCGCGAGAAATAAACAGTGTAGTCGAAGGGTACGGCCAGAGTGCACTCCTGATTCAGATTCAGATTCAGACTCAGAAAACAAAGCGCGAGAAAAAGCAAGCAACCTGCTTAGACTACACTGTTTATTTCTCGCGCTTGTTTTCTGAATCTGAATCTGAATCTGAGTGCACTCTGGCCGCACCCTATTGCCATACATTTTTCGCCAAACACCTCCATAAACGCATTTTAATCTGTATATATGTTAGACTTTAAGGTATCTATCTATCTATGGGCCTACATTCCCTACGGCGTACTTCCATAAATTAACAAAATTATAAGGTGTGATACACTAAAAATGTAAAATATGGTTATATTAAAAACATAACAAAAATAATGAAGCTACTTCTCTTAGCTTTCTTTGGTTAACGAGAGTTTAAAAAATCTCTCTAATCTGTGTCTCATTCACAATCATCACACAGTTTCTGTCACAGAGTACCTACCTTATTATAACCGGAAATCACACCTGATTTTAAAAGTTACTCTTATGCATTAACTTTAAAAACAGGCAACTATCTGTAAATCTACATGCTCTATATACCTGAATATAATCCATAATTTCGGTACTTGGTTTGATTTCCCTAGTTTACTATATAACTTATTTGTTTTTTATTATTTTAATATGTTCAGTGTATTTGGTTTATAGAAGTTCTCAGGGGTGTCCGTCAATAATATTCGTTTCTACAGTAATTTATATATAATTTCGAATCCAGGAAACAATTTTTCATGATTATTGGTCTTTAGGCCGAACATGTATGGAAGCTGAGCAATCTCCTTTAATAATGAAGCGCCAACGCTTTTTCAATTATATATATATTGGTTTTTTTGGGCTTTTTAGAGCATTAAATAAAAACGTGTTTTTAGTTTTGTAAAATATTAATTTATTTTAGTCTTTTTAGTTTCAGTCATCAGAAAAAATGAGCAGAACATGTTAAGACGAATCAAATGAGCCCAAACTCAACATGTAGGCAGTCCAAGGTTCCATCAGCCACCTTCCAGTCCCAGCATCAGACCAGCTCGGTGGTACCATAATATTGTAGTGTCATCTAATCTACATATAATTGCAAATTTCATGTTTTTCGATAATATAATACAAGAATTAGAAGTGCGTGTAATTCAGATTCTTAGATACCATTACATACTGAGTTACATACAGGCCGAATAAAAGCTTGTTAATTAAACAGATGCTGCCTGGCCCGTGTAGATTTTTCTCTAGCAGCATCTAACAGTTAAATACAAAAAAAAACTATAATTGCTATATCTTGTTTCAAATGTTTACTACTTGGTAAGGAATTAATTTGACATTATGCGAAAAGATGGCGCTGCCTTGCAGCCTAAGAGAGGCTAGAGAAAATTCGACATGGCTATGAGGGCTACGGTAGCATAAAGGTCGATACATTCGCCCGGATAGCGAAGGGTGCAGGTTCGAGTCCCGTCTGCTGACTGGTCCGCGTGAAATTGTTTCTAGTAAAATTTTCTTTAAATTTAAACATCTGCGTTATAAATGAATCTTGCTGGGGATCTCTTTGCTCCGATCCGTCGTTTCTGAAATGACTTTAATTAAACTTCTCTAGAGTTTTTCGGTGTACGAGTAATTTCAATATATTAGAAAATCCCGAATAATTCATTGAGCATTGTTTAAAAACTCAGTGGCAAAGTTCCCTAAATTTAATTTTACGCATTTTTTTACAGGCGATAAAAAAGATAAAATATCGCCTTAAAATTAATAAAAAATACTTGAACAAATCAAAATGATACCAAACCGTCTAATTATTTATTGATGTTGATTGCATATTATAAATTCATTACTTACAAATGAAACTTTGAATGGTTCGGATGAGATAACCTAACTAAAACGCAAATTAATCGAATACTATATATTTGAAAAGCTCAACTTTTTTAAGGTAGCAGATCTTTTTAATTGCAAGTCAAATTGATTACGTATTTGACTTTCCATATTATTAAAGCAATCTTAAAAATCTACCTGAATTAATACACTAAATTATTATTTTCATAAACTAGAAATTTAAAAACCGATTTCAAACTTATGAATACAGGAAATTTTAATTTAAATATGATTAATAGTGATTTTACGTGTTGCAATTAAAGTTAAATCAACCAAAAAGCATTCCGATGTTTATGGCTATGCACGTTCAGTAAATGTATCTGTCTCCAGTTAAGGTTTCTGGGTTAATAGTTGTTCTGTGGAAATGAAAGTATTTAAAACGATAAAATGTATTTCACCCGCCTTCTCCTCCTGAAACTATCATTTCGTAGACGTTACGGTGAAAGATAAAAGTCCTTTGTGCTGTTTTCAACTTTTCGTTGGGAATTCAGAAGAAACAAAATGTCTCTAAATTAATGGAAGTTATATTGATATCTAACATCTGTGAACAGCAAATTAGTAACTGATATCGTACATTGAAAATTTATTAAAGAGGGGTAAATAAAATGCCCTCTAAAATTATTTGGTGTATTTTATCTGCTACAATGGTCCATCACTACTACTGCACTACTTCTATACAAATTGAAACCGCGCATAATAATAAAACTGACTTCATAATCGGATGCATAAATAAAATAATCAAGACAAATTTCTTATACACTCCAACGATTCTATTAGTTAATCAAGATAAATGGGATACCACAGATACTTATAAGTTTTATGATAGGCTCATAGACATAACAGTTAACATACCAACAATAAAAGATATTACTTCAGATGTATACGAAATGTATGTTATGAAAGACCATTTTCTCTCCATATCATATTACCATGATTGTGACAAATTATTGGAAGTACCAATCGACTCCGTCAATCCAGTAGTAAAACATATAATGGTTATTTTCAATTCTTCAAAAGAATGCACAACACTGCTAAATAATGTTATATCTCACTACCTCAGTAAATATGATATAACTTTTCTAAAGTTAAAAGAAGATGGTAATTATGATATTGTAACTTATATACCGGAGCTAAATCCTATCTATTGTAAAATGAACTATACCGTATCAGACACTAAGATAGCCACTTGCGATTCCTTAAAGAAGGTCAACATTTTTCCAAATAAAGAACCTCAAGATTTAATGGGATGTGTCTTTAAAGTCGGTATGGCAACATTTGTCCCATTTTCGAAGATTAAAGATAGCAAATCAATGCAAATAATGGATCCAATCGAAGAAAAGGATATCAGAGGATGTGACGTGGAAATCATGAAAATAATGTCACAATATTTCAATTTTACGCTGCAATATTATTTTATATTTGACAGTGAAATCCAAGGTCATTCTCAACTAGCATTTTTGGATTTTCTGCTTAACGGTACTTTGGACGCTTGTGCAGGTGGACTTTTTAGAGTGTATGGTGATGTTGTTGAATATTCAGGTGTTTACGGTAAACAAGCATTAGTTTGGATGTACACTGCTAAACGAAGAAACAGGTCTTGGCAAAACCTGGTTGCTAAAGTCGGTAGCTTATATGCATTCATTGTGTCCTATATCATCTTTTCCCTTGCATCATATTTACTTACTATGTTTGACAGAAGACGCGTATCACTCAGCAACACGATGTTGTACAATTGGGGTGCACTCATGGGTGCTTCTTCATTATATAAAGCAAAAACATTCAAGCACAGGATTATGAACTATTTCTACTTAACTCTATGCACACATCTCGCTGTTTATGCTAACATACACATGTATTCTTTTTTAACTGTCATCGGTCCACCAAGTACATATAAAACTATCGACGAGATATATGGATCAAATTTAAAGCCGTACTTGGATCAGAAAAACAAATTTTTTTTCAGTGATAAACAATTCGACATGTTTTCTAATACATCAAAAAATTGTGTATTTTTTGTAGATTGTGAATTACAAAGTTTTAAACATAATGGAATTACAATTGTAGACGATGCTCAATTCACGTTGTTTCAAGCTGAAACTATAGTGGATGGAGAAGCTACGGTGTTAAAGGTGCCACAGAACATGGTGACTGCCTACCATGAAATTTTGATTCGAAAGAATCTCACCATCACAAATAGTTTTCAAAAACTTATGACTAGGCTCGGGGAAGCTGGCATAAGTGATCGACTGTACCACGAAGGTTTGGGAATATTAACAGAAGCGAAAGTGCTTAGTGCGACAAAAAATATTATGAGTTACAGCTACAATTGTAAAGGTGGATGTAGTATTACACTGATACAGTGCGCAGGAGCATTCTATGTTTGGATGTTTGGGTGTGTCTTGTCTTTTTGTGTTTTTATAGTGGAGATTACAGTAAAAATGAAACAAGGCCGCCAAATATAATTATTATGTATAAATTTGTCAAAGGCACTTACGTTTTATTTGGGATATCGCACAACATCGTGTTTGTGTTGTTGTTATTTGACGAACACTAATTTAAAAGAATAAAAGGTCGGTGTGAAATAAATGCATTATTAATTTAGTAGAATAATAAGGTTAATCAAACATCTTTAAAAAATTGTAACTCAGAGGAATATTTTCATTATGGTTGCACTTAAATTAAAAACTCGTGGAGTGCCGCCGTTGCCAACTTGCTAAAGCTTTTTCAAGAACCTTAACTATTTGTAATAGAATGTTAGACTATACAAGTATAAAGAATTAAATAATATTTCAAGTCCATGATAAAGGACATTGGGAAAAAATGTATGGATGTTGCACCCACGTCCGCCACGACTTGAAATGCATTTGTTGGAAAGGCATTATAGTCATGATCATCTGTGCTAAAGCGCATCAAATTCCATCCCGGGGGTCTTTAGTTATTTTAAGTTAAATAGGTACAAGTACTATATTGAACGAAAATAATAGAAACAAGGGCATTAATTTAGTTAGTTAGTTCGGCTGTACATTTAGGGCCCAGGCACAATACATAAAAGAGCAGTTCAATAGCGTAACTCAGCCGTTTTCTTGAAATAGATACCTACGACTGAGCGGAGCGCTAGGGTTGGTACCTACAAAATGTAAAACATATTTGTGTAGATTTTTATTGTATGATATGTATAGTTACTATTGCCACGTTACGGAATCGAAACGAACGCAGACGGCGCGGGCGGCGCGGCGCAGCTAACTTAACTCGGCCAAGTTCAATGTCCAAAGCGTGTTAGATAAAAATCAATCAAGTGACAGGGCATGCACAATCACAACGAAGTAAGACGAGTCGACTATTTGCAACTGCAAGTACTTCAACCGTTTTATGGTGGCTCAGTAAGTGCAAACGCAGGATGGTCGGCAGGCTTTGTCGTATATCTACATGTATAGGAGTACGACATATGACATCTTATTATGGTTACTAATATTATAAGATGAAGGTACTATAAAATTTATTTATTTAGCTACTTAAATATGCCCATGTGTCATATCTTTTGACTACCAGGATATTTTCATACGGTGTCATATCTTTTGACTACCAGGATATTTTTTAAGGTGTCATAATAAAAAGGCTAGTTCTTCATAGATCCACCGATTCATACTAATTAGATCATTGCTGGCAGAGCTGGGTGTGTTTTGCCCATTGTCCTTTTAATTTCTTAATTGTCATTATAAATTAAAATTTTAAAGGATATTTTTAAATGCACAGCAAATAACTTAGTACCCATTAAGTCATTTACAGGAATTAAATTATTGTTGTTTTTATTTATTTTTTAAGCATTTAACTGCTAGATGTTTAAATCTAAAGAAAAGTTTACTAGAAAAAAATCCACGCGGACCAGGCAGCGGACGGGACTCGAACCCGCACCCTTCGCAATCCGGGCGAATGCACTGACCATTTTTTTTTTTTTTTTTTTTTATAGTTAGGTCCGACAAATGACTCCACCCCACCTGATGTTAAGTGAAGGTGAAGTCCAGACGCGAAGATAGCTGATACAGCAGTTCTACCTGCCACACCAGCCATCCTCACCCTGCCGGCCTGCACGTTGCTTCTTCACGCCTCTTTTAAAGGATCCCAGGTTGTAAGAGGGAGGGAACACGTGAGCGGGCAGAGCATTCCATTTACGGATAGTGCGACAAAGAAATGAGTCACCAAATTTCTTTGTACGCGTTGGAATTGTGGCCACAGTAAGACGGTGACAACGTAGGCCAGCGCGCGTGGTCCTCTGAAGGAAAGGGGAAGGTGGGATAAGAGAGAATAACTCCTCAGAACACTCGCCGTGGTACAAACGATAGAACGCGCTTAGTGACGCCACGTCACGGCGTAATTGAAGAGGCTCAAGGTGTTTAGTCACCTCCTCATCACCTATGATGCGGATCGCGCGCCGCTGTAACCTATCCAAAGCATCGAGCAAGTACTTGGCGGAGCCATCCCAGAGGTGCGAGCAATATTCCACGCAGGACCGCACTTGCGTTTTGTACAACAAGCACAGTTGATCGGGCGTGAAAAAACGCCGCACCTTGTTCAGGACTCCGAGTTTGCGTGAAGCTGTTTTGATCACGGTTTCGATGTAGTCCTTTGGATTCAGGTCTGAGCGAACTTCCATACTGAGCATGGAAATGTTGCTCTGCAGCGGTAGTGTTGTGCCCTGAAGAGATGGAAGGGGAAGGAATGGCGATGTTTTTGCCGTGAAAGCGCAAGCCTGAGTTTTCTTGGCATTGAACCCAACCAAGTTCCTGGTACCCCATTCGGAAATGTGGTCCAAAGCCTGATTGAGTTCAATGACAAGATTTTCCCGTTTCTCCCTGGTTACTGCCTGCCCAGCCGCTGCTTGTCCGAGATACCCCGCATGCACTGTACTATCGTCTGCATAGCAATGAATATTCCCAAGAGGAATCAAGTCATTGATATGCAGCAGAAAGAGAGTGGGGGATAGGACGGAGCCCTGGGGAACGCCGGCATTCACTGACATGAACCGCGAACTGCTACCATCCGTAAGGACACGAATTCTACGCTCATGCAGGAAGTCAGCTACCCAAGAACAGAACTGGGCTGGCAGACCGTATGCCGAAAGCTTGGAGAGAAGGCTTTTGTGCCAGACCCTGTCGAACGCCTTGGCAATGTCAAGGCTGATAGCCAACGACTCGCCACGCTTGTCGATAGCCTCACCCCAGATATGAGTTAAGTACGCTAGAAGATCACCCGTCGATCGTTTCGGTCTAAATCCATATTGACGATCATTAATCAGGGAGTGATCCTCTAGGTAGCGGGTCAGATGGTTATTAAGGACCTTTTCTAGAACTTTACATAAAACTGAGGTGACTGCTATTGGCCGATAGTTTGCCGGGTCTGAGCGATCCCCTTTTTTGGGCACCGGTTGCACGTTAGCATCTCTCCAAGTCTCCGGCACACGCCCCAAAGAATTCGAGCATTGGTACAAGCGCGTGAGCACGGGAGACAACTCCGCTGCACATTTTTTAAGTACTACTGCTGGGATGCCATCAGGTCCACTAGCTTTCCGGACGTCGAGTGATTGCAATTCGGCAAGAACCTCACGCTGCCTGATTTTAATATCAGGCATCGTTGTGCCACAGTGAGGTAATGATGGTGGCAGTGCATTGCAATCATCGATTCGGGAGTTAGCCGCAAAGAGTTTTGCCAGTAAATCGGCTTTCTCCTGCGGCTTATGAGCTAGTGTTCCGTCTGGGCATCTCAGAGGTGGCAGCGAGGGCTGGCAGAAGTTTTTTTGCACGGCCTTGGCCAAACGCCAGTAGCTACGGGAGCCCGCAGGATGCGTTATAAGTTCTTGGCCAACACGTGCAACACGCTGGGCATCCGCTCTGATGTAAGCCTTCTTACAGGCCTTGGAAGCAGAATTGTAGGCTGCTCTGAGTGAATCGACACCGGGATCCTTGAGAGCGCGGCCTCTGATCCAAGCACGATATGCCGCTTGCTTACGCGAAGCAGCTTCAGCACAGTCGTGATTAAACCAGAGGTTACGTGTGCCCTTACTGATGAGATCAGAATGAGGAATATAGTATTCCATACCCATTATGATCTCCTCAGTAATGGCAACGGCACTGCCCGATAGGTCCCTGTCACTGAAGCAGCGCTGCTTCCAAGGGACGGACGCAAAGTAATCACGCATACCGTCCCAATCTGCCGACCCATAATGCCAGATACGGCGCTTGACCACTGCTGGACGCGGAGGCTTGGCCTGTGGTGCTTTGGCAGATATCAGGCAGTGGTCGGACGAGCCCAGGGGGGCTCTTACCACAACCTGATAGCCCTGTGGATGGGTCGTGAGCAGAAGGTCCAGTAAAGAAGGCGCTTGACTTGGAATATCTGGGATCCTGGTGGGCTGATCAACCAGTTGCTTCAAGTCATGCGTGAGAGCGAATGTGTGAGCAGAGATCCCTGCATGGTCAGTTTTGGAAGAACTTAACCACAAATTGTGGTGAGCATTAAAGTCCCCCAAAAACACCAATTCTGCATTGGGAAATCGCTCCTGCGCGTCATCTGCTGCCCGACTAAGGTGTTCAAAAAGTCGAGTTGTCTCAACATCGCCGGTGTGGGATCTGTAGAGGTACCCCCAGCATGGAGAAGGAGGGATCTTCCAAGCAGCGGAGACGGCGACAACAAACATCCGCCCGAACATACAGGCATACACCGGCTTTCGCTTTGAAGGACTCTTCAAGCACGTAGCCGGGATAATTAAGGTAGCCTGTGTCAGCAGGCGGAAGTATTTGTGTCTCCGTCAGGAACAACAATGCTGGCCGTGCTGTCTCGAGATGGTGGTGGACAGCGTTGAGGTTAGAGTGGAGTCCGCGTATGTTGCAGAACTCGACCTCAAACAGCGTTGAAGGCGTGGAGGTGTGCACCGCTGTACGTCCAAACTTTGTTATTGAGGCTGCCATGGTGGAAGTGAAAAAAAGAGAAAGAGACGCGAAAACGAGCGGACGCCGTCGCGAAGAGTCCGGGCAAATAAGGGGGGTTTGTCTTCCCGATTGACTGCCTGCAGTGGAGATGCGCCGACCCGCCGGACGGAAGGGCCCCCGCACCCCCCCGGGAGTGGCCGCCGGGACCCCACGCCCCGGTCACCAACCGGCACGACGGTCCACCCCGAGATTATGCGTGACATGATGGGGCAGCCTCGCGAACTGGTTAGGAACGCTTGGGCCCCTGTACTGTGCCACGGGCGGCCAGCGGGACAGCCGTTTCTACGGGTCTCCCTGGCCGACGGGTCG